TCCCATGATAGGGGTGCCCGACAGATAGCAAAACACATAGATCATCCTCCTGCAAGGATTCCAGGGTCATAGACTCAAAGGCTCTAAGAGCAGGTGATCTAGGCTCTCTTCTTACAAATGAGAAATAAGGCTGGCAAGTGAAGTGATTTACCCAAGGTCACATAGACGGGTTTAGAATGCCATCTCTACACCCCACCAATCTCTCCTCTGTTGTCTCTCATTTCATCTCTCACTACACGGAGCTGGCAAGACCTCCTTAACTGAGTAAACTTCCAGGTCCATATTATCCACCACAGAAGAAGCCACATTATGGCCAGAGAAACCATATGGAAATTATTATTTTTTTAAATTTTTTTAAATTTTTATTTATTTATGATAGTTACACACAGAGAGAGAGAAAGAGAGGCAGAGACATAGGCAGAGGGAGAAGCAGGCTCCATGCACCGGGAGCCTGACGTGGGATTCGATCCCGGGTCTCCAGGATCGTGCCCCGGGCCAAAGGCAGGCGCTAAACCGCTGCGCCACCCAGGGATCCCTGGAAATTATTTTTAAGTATATAAATATATCCCCTTAGAAATAATCCTCACTGATAACTTTCGAACAGACTTAAATTGTGGAGACTGCATATGGATCTTAGATTCATGAAAAACTGCATTTAGCAGTTTTGATTTAGAGTTGGTGTTGGGTCTCTCACCTACCTGCTACTCTAAGCTTCCAACCATCTTTCAGCCCCATCTTGCCTGATACTCTAAAGCCATTTAACAGGACATTACTTAGTGATAGCAGATTGGGAACAAAAGGAAGATAGAATCCACTGAAACAATGTTTAGAGCTGGAGCGACATCAGCAGCTGATTCAACTTCCTTATTGTAAGCTCGAGAAAAGGCAGGTCAGGGAAGCAACACAACATAATGAGAAAAAGAGTCCATCCACCAGTTAGTTCACTGGAGACCAGATTCTTACTAGCAGATACCCTGTACTGCAAAGCTTCAGTTCCACCTATGGATAAAGTGCGTCTGTGATTGGGGGCTAATGAAATGCCTGAATATGAATTGAGGAAGCTCAGGCATTGTTGGAAAAGAACTTACCTACTGCCAGAAAGAAGCTTGATTCTCTTGCAGAAGAACTTGACTTTTTTTGAGATCAATTTACTACCACAGAAGTCAATATGGCCGTGGTTTATAATTGGGATGTAAAAGAAAGAATAAGAAAAAAAAAAAAGACACTTCTACCAAGAACAAAGCATAATGCTGGCAATTAGAAATGTGGTTCTGTTTTCCAAACATGTTATTTTGAATATCCCAAAGTTTATCCCTAAAGGTTTACGTGACTTTGATTTTTTAACAGCAAGAATTATAATTAAAACTCCCTTAAAAAGACTTTAAAAAGATGAATGAAAAAGATGATGCAAGAGTGGGACAGACTGGGCAGAAGTCACAGCCACGTTACTCAGTAGTGTAACACTGGGTATCTTACTCAACCACTCTGGACCTCAGTCTTCTCACCTGCAAAATGGGGATAATCCTCATCTCTATTTTTTTGTTTGTGTTGAAGATTATTTACAATAAAGTGTATTTCACACTACCTGGCACATAGTATGCATTCAACAAACACTAGTTATAATTACTACAATCTAGTGCCAGTTCTGCTCCCTTTGTTCACTCCCTGATTTGCTCATTTATACAGCAGAGGAACTCAACAAGATAAAGTTTGTTAAAGCCTTGATCAGATCTTCATCTGTTAACCTCCACCTCCATCACTTCTTTTTTTTAAGATTTTATTTATTTATTCATGATAGTCACATAGAGAGAGAGAGGCAAAGACATAGGCATAGGGAGAAGCAGGCTCCATATAGGGAGCTTGACGTGGGATTCAATCCCGGGTCTCCAGGATCGCGCCCTGGGCCAAAGGCAGGCGCTAAACCGCTGCGCCACCCAGGGATCCCCACCTCCATCACTTCTTGAAAGCCAGAGTGGGAATGAATGATTCCCTCTTCCATGTTCTCTAGCTGGAGCCTGATTCAGTCTATATCTCACTTGCTCCTGTATTTGATTTCTTTTTTTATTTATATCCATAGCACACATTCCTTGAGGTGAGGGAGATCTGCTCTCCCTCTCATAGTCACCTTATACAGAGTGTGCACTTAGGAAATGTGGAGGCCTTGCCCTGAATGTATTTTCTAACAATTGAATTGCTATGCATATGAGAAGTATCTGAGAATTATGATCATAGATTTGAACTGAGTTCTTAAGAAGCAATGAGAGTTTTGGTTTTTCTGGTTTTGTTTTTGTTTTGGGGGCTGGAGGGTAGGGCAAATACATAAAGAAAATATCTAAAAACAGCAGGAGGACATCTGCTACTTGCACAGGACATTCCTCTTGGAGGTCAAAGTCCTCTAAAGATCTGTTGCTCGTGTTCTTGTGGCAATGGCCAGGATAACCTAAGAGCTGTGAGGTAACCTCTCATCAGGAGTGGGTGGTGCTCGTTCAAGCCCTGAGTTCCCAGGGATCATTGGTAGTTACAGCTTCTTTGGGGAGGGAGCATTAGACCTGAGACTAGTTGTGGGAGTGGTGATAGGGAAGAGATGTGCTCCTGGGTCCTTTTGTGCCTCAGTTTCTTTCTCTGAATGATGGGAATCCTTTTATTTTCTACCATCCTATCTCCCCTAATTGTTACAATGTAATTTTTTAAACTGTCAATGTTTGTTAATGGAGCAATGAATGTTAATGTGGGTTGGGGTCGTGCTGAAAGAGTCAATCCAAAGCAGAGCTAAGGCATGTTCTTTTCTTATAACAGATGTAACAGCAGCTAACATTTGTTAAAGGCTTACTATATGTCAGGCAGTGTGCTAAGCATTTTATGTGTATTAATTCATCCTAAATCTCAAAACAACCCTATAAGGTAGTCTCCATTTTATAGAGAAGGAAACTGAGGCACAGAAAGGTTAAGCCAAAAGCTACACAGCTAATAAGTGACACAGCCCAGAATAGCACTTACATGGTTGAATGCCTCTGGTGCACTCTTAATTATGTTGCTATAGTGTCTTCCTGTGGCCATCTCTAATTTGGTGCCTATCACCTTGGTTTGCATGTAATAGGTGCTCAATAAATATTTGTTGCATTGGGGTAAAACTAATGAAACTCAAGCGTGGTTGAGAAGCCTCTCCCATCTTCCTCTCCTTCCAATTACAACTCCAGCTCCTCTATTCAGTAAGGAATTTGGCTTTTAAAGCTGTCTAATTGGGAGCTAGGGACCCTAGAAATTCATAATTAACTTTTTTCATAGTTTTCATGTAAAATGAATACAAACACATTCTGGATCATTGGAATAACCATCTAATACCAAGAACTGCCTTGTGATTTCAGTGTCTATGTGGGCTGTGCCTTGGCGCCAAGAGTTACAAGTTTATCGGTTATGCTATTAAGAAAGGAATAGCCCAGGGGCACCTGGCGGGCTGTTGGTTAAGCATCTGCCTGCGGCCCAAGTCGTGATCCCAGGGTTCTGAGATCCAGCCCTGCATTGGGCTCCCCGCTCAGTGGGGAGCCTGCTTCTCCCTCTCTCTCTCTGCCCCTCCCCCATCACGTTCTGTTCTTACTTGCCCTGCTCTCTCTCTCTCAAATAAATAAAAAAAACCTTAAAAGAAAAAAAAAGGAATACCACAGCATTAACCTCTAAATGATATATCAGAGTCAAGCGAAAGCCAGATATTATAACGACAAAGGGTGTGAGCAAAGGTGTGGTTGCTGGAACAGAGGAAAGATATGAGAAAACTGTGTCGGTACCGTGCGCTTGACACACCATGAGAGGGGTAAAGCCACACAGAACCCAAATGTAGCCCTATCTGGGCAGTCAGTACTACGTGATGCTGGTATAGTTGGGTAGTAAGCATTACTAATTTAATGTCACTGTTTTGGGAGGGGATTTTTATATATAATTCATAAATTTGCTTTGGCTTTATTCCAGAATCGTTCATAAGCTGTAACATAAATTTCTGATTTAATGTCTATATACAGTGAGTAACATTATGAAAGAAACTAAGCTAATGCTGGGGAGGTTTGAGGACTTGGCCTTAAGATAGTGGAGAGTACCAATTCCTCGCACATTTGAGAACCACCGCACCGTAGCCCATGCGGGGGCTTTCCTATTTCACATTAGTTGTGTCATTAGCCCCTGGCGTGAGAGTATAGTAGACCCTCCCCCCTCCCCCCCCCCCCCTCCCTGAGAGCGGGCTTCGAGGAGGGAAAGGACAGCCAAGGGGCCAGACCGAAAATGTGGCCTCGGAGCACCGGGGCAGGTCCTTAATCCTGCGACCTTCAGTCCCTGATCTGTAACACGGGGGCACCTGCAACCTGGCCGCCGCGACGGCCCACGCGTAAAGCCGGCTCACGGCGGGACCGAGTAAGCGTCCAGTCTTCTAAAGACCGAGGCGCTGCGGAGAGAAGAGCAAAGCTCTGGCCCCGGATCCTTCAATGGCGCGGTCGCGGCCGGCACCGCGGGCTGGCGGAGGCGGCTCCACCGGCCGGTGCGCCCCGGGAGGCTGGGGGTGCGCTCGCGGCCCCGCCGCCCTCCCGCCCTCCGGCCCCGCGCGCCCGCGCAGCTCTGCGTCCCTCGGAGGCACCTGAGGCCGCGGGAGGCCCTCGCTCATGCCCTGAAAACCCAAAAGCACAGAGTTTTCGCGACTCTTCCAATGTGCCGAGGGGCTCCCCACGCCCCGGGTACAGCCCGCGTCCCCGGCTGCAGGCTGGGGGCGGGGGGGGCGACCCCCGGGAGCGCGCGGTCCCGGCGAGCAGGCGGCGGGGCGCGGGCGGCGGAGGCCCGAGGCTCGCTCGGGAGGCTGCGCCCGAGCCCCGGGGGTGCGCGCGGCGCGGGGCGGGCCGTCGGCGGGACCCGGGGCGGGGGCGGGGGCGGGCGGCGGGCGCGCGGCTTCCCCGAGGCGGGAGGCGGGAGGCGGGAGGCGGGAGGCGGGGCGGGCGGGCCCCGGGAGGCGCGGGGGGCGGACCCGCCCGCTGCCGGCGCCGCTCGCTCGCACTCGGTCGCGCCGCGGGGCAGGCATGGGAGCCGCGCGCGCCCTCCCGGCGCCCACACCTGTCTGAGCGGCGCAGCGAGCCGCGGCCCCGGCGGGCTGCTCGGCGCGGTGAGTGCGGGCGCGGCCGGGGGGGGGCGCGGGGCTCGGGCGCGGCAGCGGCGGGACAAAGGGCGGGCGGACGCGCGCGGCGGGGGCGCGGCGGGGGGCGCGGCGGGGGGCGCGGCGGGGGGCGCGGCGGGGGGCGCGGCGGGGCCCCGGGGCTGCAGGGCGGCGGAGCTCCGCGGGGGCCGGGGCTGCCGGGCGCTTGGGCTCCCGCGGCGTCATCGGGCGGCGGGTGTTAGCGACGGGCTGGAGGTGCCGGCGCGGGCGGAGAGGAGCGGCCCGGGGCGCGGACGGCACCCGCCGCCGCCGCCCCGCGGCTTCTGGGGCTTCTGGGGCTTCGGCCTCTGGGTACTCGAGCGCGATCCCAGCGTGAAGTTCACCTCTGGCCACGCGACTGTGGGCGCCTCGCAGCCGGGGAGCGCAGCGGACGCGGGCTGGGGAGCCGGCGCGGCGTGGACGGGCCCGTGCCCCTCGCAGGCTGTCGGTGGACTCTCACCGGTGTTGGAAGCAGGTGTTTCTTCCTCGGCCCGTGGACGCACGTCACGAGTTGACTTGCGAATAAAAGTCTGAAAAGTTTAGGGATTGTCTTAGAAGAGGAGGGAGAATCATTTCAGCAAAGGAAAACCACCACTCCCCTCCAGAACACGAGTTAGGGTCGCTCTCCGACACCTCAGGAGAAAAAAGCAAAAAAGCGGCTGCCGGGGATCCTGTGTGTGTTACTGCCCTGGGGCGACCCCAGGAGCCTTGAGAGAGCGGAGCAGCCCCTGCTGGTGGGGAGCTCCAGGGGGCGGGCGCAGGGCTGCGGGGGGCTCCTTCCCCCGCTCCCGAAACTGGACTTGAGGGCTCCCCGTGTGCAGCTCAGGGGCGGAGAGGCCAGTGCCGCTTACCTTCTGGGGCCACGCAGGAAAGACTTGACTTTATATAGCTGGAGGTCCGCTGCGGCCAAAGCCCAGTGCCGATTAATAGGAGGCTATTTACCGCGCTTGTGCCGGGCTCCGCTTCATGCACAAGGAACATTTAAAATAGGCCTTAGGACGAGTCTCTGGAGAAGCCTTGACAGGAGCGAATTGGAGGCGGAGTGGGGAGAAGCAATTTAGGAGAAATGCTATAAAAGCCACTGTGTTTACTTGTGAAAGTTTGATCACGTGCACACCTTCTGCATTTGAAGAAATCGTTTCACTTGTGTTTTTCCCACCTAAATAGTCATACTTTCCCGTAGTGAGCTGGAAAGGAAGCGTTCTTCCCAGGTATCTAATACGGATCTCATTTTTGTGACACTGGCAGCTTACTCAGGTAGATGGTGAATACGGGTGTTTTCCTGTCTAGGATAAGTGCCACGGTGCCCATTAGTGGGTCTGAGAATGAGACTGGCCGCAGTCTGCAGGGTTTAATGGTCTCAGGTTCTCCCACATGTTTCTTCTCATGGATCCCCGAGGATTCAGTCCACCGGGCGTGATTCATGGGTAACTCCCACTGGCTCCGGGGAGCTCCTTCCCCCTGGGCTCACCACTGACAGTTCTATACACTGTTCTTGTTCTGCCACCAGGTCTGCCCCAAGCTCACTAGGGTAGTGCGTTCTGCCTAAAAGCTGATAGAGGAGAAGTTAAACTTCTTTTGACCACAAGACTGTGTGCAGGGCGGTTGGGCTTGTAAACGTGCTGCATTTCTTTCCTGTAGGGGCTGTAATTCTTAAACCATTATGTGATTACGTCTGTTTTCCTTTAACAGTTCTTTGACTCAGGAAAATGAGGGCAAGCCTGGCTGCAGAGAGCTCACAGAGCTTTGTTCGCTTTTAGGTATTTGCTTTAGGAATTAGCGTGGTTTCACTGGTCAGTTTTCCTGGCCACAGAGTCCGTGGAAAACCCTTTGTTATCCTTCCAGATGGTGCCCAAAACTTTTATCTCTACAGACTTTCCCACTGTTTGTTTCGACATGACTGTTTATAGTGGTCACAGGAATTCATCTGTTGGACAATAGAGAATGTATGTCCTAAGGATTAGGTTTTTTTTTTTTTTTTTCTCCCAGCACTTGTTTGCTATAGGAGTTAAGTCGTTCTCCCAAACACTTGCCCTCTTGAGGAGACCTGTGTCATTGCCGTTTTGAAGAGGAAGGTGTGGAGCAGTTTCAGTGACCAGTCGCCAAGCAGATGGTGCTGGTTTGTTTGTTTCTGATAATGTCCCTTCATCATTAGATTATCAGTGGATTTGTGAAGTAGCAGCATCCTCGTAAAATATAAATATTTTTAGACGAATGGACAGCAGGACAGTGGCTCCTATTGAGTGATGGGGCACGGAATGTGTAACTCTTGTGAGTCAGATACACAGAGTTGGGAAATAAATAGTTTTTGCATTAATAAAACCTTAATTTTTCATTCTGCTTTATCAGTCAGGCGAAGTGATACATGAGAATAGTTGAGAACTTTGAGAAAGGATTATGTACGTGAGGAATCTTTATCTAGTAAAGGCTTAGTCCTAGAAATGAAATGTTGGAGGCCTGAATTTTCTCCATCTGGATTTAGATAGAGCAAGGATAAGATTTGGAAGATAAGATTTGGAAGTCTTCATTCTCGGTTTTGTGTTGTTGTTGTTGTTGTTTTTTTTTTTTGAAGGAATACCTATTTCAGACAGTTCTATAAGAGTAAGGTGATTCATTTGTGAAGGCAAGAAAGAATTTCAAGTTAATGGAATTTATTAGTTACCTTTTCCGATAGTGAGATTATAGATGTTATGATATCTGTTTCCATCCTAGAGTGTTTGTTTAAATAAACTTAAATGGGGCGCCTGGGTGGCTCAGTGGGTAAAGCATCTGCCTTTGGCTCAGGTCATGATCCCAGGGCCCTGGGATCCAGCCCCATGTGGGGCTCCCTGCTCAGAGGAGAGCCTGCTGCTCCCCCTGCTCATTCGGTCTTTGCTTTCTCTGTCAAATAAATAAAATATTCTAAATAAATAAATTAAATATTTAAATGGGCATAGTACAGGCTTGCTTAGAGTTTATAAAAATGAAAACAATAATTGTCTCCTGGGACGTTATTACCAGGTGAGTTGAGAAATGCATGCAAAGCCACCAACCTAATTTTAAAGCATCACAGTTATCATTGATGTGTATTAATAGGAAAGGGGTCAGGGTAGGGTGTGAATGCCCCAGGAAAGGGCCTAGGCCGGTGAGATTTCCCCCCTGGCACTTTTTCTTTCTGAGAGCCGGCACACCCAACCATCCTTCTCCATTCTTGAAAGCCGCCCTCTGCTGGAGGCTTTGTTTGCTTGATGAGGGAAATCTTGTCTCCTGGATCGGCAAGAGATTAGCAAGATACATTTCCCTTTTCCCCTCTGCTCCTGGCCTTCTCAATTCTGTGAGTGCGGGCTCCGTTTGTATACAGCCTACCGCTTGCACTGGACTTTTGTGACCCTGGAAAATGATAATATTAGGGAATCCTGGGCCTGTAAAGACCGGCACTAAAGAGCTAAAGAGATCATCCAGTTCAGGTTGCCTTTCAGAATAGTTTCTAAACTACCCTGAACACATATTTGGTAAAAGGGTGAGCAGTTTCTGAAGTGCGTAACCTTAACACAGATAGCAGCTTAAACCCATTTGGGAGCCTGAGAACAGATGACTTGATCTCCCAATTTACAATCAGGAAAAAACCATTTTAATCGTACACCTAAAACTAATATCACTATACTTCAGGAAAACTTTAAAAATAACAATAAAAAAGCTTTATCAGTTTGGAATAACTTGACCTGCATTGGTCTGTACTAATTTCTAAATCTGAATGAAAGTATTTTTAAAGGCAATTTTATAGCTTTCTGAGTTACAAAGAAAATCTAATGAAGATAGAGAACCCCAGGACAAGATCTTATCACAAGTTAATGTGTTCAGTTTAAGCAATAATGTAGGGAACTTGTAGGCAATGTTTTAGACTAATAGAAGTTTGTGTTTTTGAGGTATCCAAAAAAGTTTATTTCTAAAGACTTAGATCTTTACCCTGTTGGTTTAGCAGTCCTTACAGATGGCTGACTTCTCTTCTCCTTCACTGGCTAAATGATCAGAACTTAAGTTGTAAGGACTCTGAATTAGTAATACTATTGAACGAATGTTGACTATTAATTAGATGATATTTTATCCAGAATATTGATATTCCAGGGAGAATAGTAATATCCTAATGATCTGCAGTAGGCTCTTTAGCATTATCTACCAGTATCCTGTGATTTGTAAATGATCCCAAAGGCTCTTGGCACAGTGGTTTGTCATTTCTCTGGGAACAAATTCAATCCTGCATGTTGGGGGGCTAGAGTGAGGCCGTGGCCATTGAGGGAGCCTAGCTAAGTGCCCAGCCTCGTGCCCACGAAAAGACTGGTCTCCATTTCTTCAGACCCACAAACTCTCAGGAACTGGTTCCAAAACATTTTTTGAAAGATTGATATTAAAAAAAAAAAAACAAACAAAACAAAACAAAAAAAAAACAACAGAAACCAAGCCCTCACTGTGAGATAAGACATGCTTCAAGGACTTCGAATATATTTTAAAAATAGGTTTGCTGTAGAGGCAGAGCACTTGGAAAAGTGAAATGTAGAGTTAATTTTGCCTAAGAGGAGATTAGTTCATTAAGACAGAGTTCCTAGTTAAATATTTTAGACTCCTTCCTGCCCTTCTCTTCCATGACGTCCTTGCCAATGAACTATTTCAATGTTTGGATAAAGACAAATGCCACTGGAGGAATTCTGCTGCAGTAGATAATCTGGGCTCTGCAGTCCCAGGATCCAACTCACATATAAATTTCCAATTTGAGAATTGAAGATGCGTGCCCTAGATGATGACCCTGAGAGCATTCTCTAACTGCTGGTTTCTTCCTGCACATTGCAAAGATTACCTACAGCTTATGATAACCCAGAGCATAATAACGTCTCTCCTCCTCCTCTCTCTCTCCCCCAAGAATCACATTTTGGCAACAGGAACACTTGGCAGCTCTGACCTCTGGATCCTGTGTTTTGTTTTTTAGATAAGCTGAAGTCAAACTTGGCTTGACAGTATTAGCAGTATTAGTCGGTATTAGCAGGCATCAACATTCACCATGGTAATCTAAGGGAGGAGGAGATGGTCGGAGACGTACACATCACACTTGGCAGGAATTCTGCCGTGGGGGCATTTAGTTACCCAGACAGTGACTTACATAGAGAAGACGCGCGGTCCAGGACCTAGATATGTTTAAGAACTGAGTCCTGAGCCAGGAGATAGGAATAATCAGATACAGAGCCATCTTCTAAAGTTTCCTAATGGGTTGTCCTCACCACACCTAGGCCACCCCTGAAGTCCCCACTGGGGAAGAGGGCTTTATGAGCATCAGGATCCTTTCCTTCATCTACTTAGAGCCTTTAGTTGTGATGGTATCCACCCCCCCCCCCCGTACATGCAAATCTGGGTATGCACACAGACCCCATGGTTTCAAGGATTTAGAGAAACCACGAGATATCTCTCCTCCCCACAGAAGGGCCCAGGGACTCTTCCTATTGGGAAGAAAGGAAAGAAACAATCTCAAAGAATCAGGGAGTCCCAAGGAATTACCTTTTCCAGGAGCTCATGCCTGTTTCATCCCATCTCTGTTTTCTCTGATAGAAGTGGAATCAGAGAGAGTCAAGCAAAAAGAGGCCAGAGGTGGGGTGGGGCGGGGGGGGGGGATGCACACTTCTTAGTAATAGTGGGTGTGGATATTGGGAATACGGATTGGCATGCTCACCTGGCCTAGATCAGATCAAGGGGATTTTCCAGTTTATGTAAAAGAAAGCAGAAAATGCCCAAAAGTTGCCAACAGGTCTATACTCTCAAGAGGAAGAGAATGGGGACAAGGGGATGGATGGTTTCTTCCTGACTCCTGCTAGGTTCCAAAGTCTTGGAGACCTGACCCCTCCCTGTCCTCTTTTTGGGAAGCACTCCATCCTGAACAAATTACCCTACCCTCTATATCAGCTCCTCCGGAACAGAAGATGCACAACCAGTCAGAGCTAACTTGCCCTTGAGTGTTTATGAAAGTACTCCCAATCTGTTTTTCATTGTTGGTTTTCTTGTGGCATGATTGATCCAGCTCTTTTAACATACATTTCAGGATAAAATCCAAACTTCTTCATTTAGTGTATGGAGCCTTGCATAATATGGCTTTTGCCCACTGCCTCCACCACCTCTTTTCTTCCACCCTTCCTGGCCTTAGTTTAATTTCCGAAATGACTTGCACTGTTGCATGTCTTTGTATCCTTGCATATGACTATCCCTTTCACTCTGTCTTATATTATCTAACTTCTCCTCACCTTTGACACCCACCTCTAGCATCATCTCCCCTGGATCTCCTGTTTTTGTGACTCCCCACACCTGGATTTCATGCCTTTTTTCTGAGCCGCCACATCATCCACATACATCTATGTCACTAGCACTCAGCATGCCTCATTGAAAAAATGTGGTTTTTGTAGCCACACTAATCCTTCATTCACTCTTTGATGAATACAAGTACTCATTCGGTAAATCCATTCAATAAATCTTTGTTGAGCGCTAGCATAGGCCCAAATTCAAGGCATTCAGATGAGCCAGGAACACAGATACAGAGACCTGAAAGGTAATCAGCAGTAAATTTCACAATGTGCTACCCAGTGCTACGTTAGAGCTTCAGGTCTTTGACAGAGATCCCAATAGCCTACAACAAAATCCAAAGGAAGAAGTATCTTGTTTGTTAGAGGCCTGGCGACTCTGAAACTAAACTTATAATAGTTAAGTTTGTTTTAAATTCAAACAAAAGTCTCATGCCCTCCTTGGAATCACTCAGCATTTCGAAGTGACAGGAATCCCAGTAAGTGTGACACTGGAGCTATCTATCTCTCCTTGATGCCTTGATGCCTTGGTCACTCAGTTTACTGTGTCATTTACATTTACATGAGCAAGTCACTCAGAAGATTTTCCAAGTACACGCTATACTGAGAACGGGCAGAAAAGGAAAGAAGGGCAGGTGGACCAGGGAGGTAGGAGGGGACAAAGGCTCCAAGCACAGAGAAGGCTCAAAATTGCACAGAAACCCAGGCTGGTGGAGCAGCTCCTCTGGGGCTTAATGACCGCGGGCACTCTGCCTTGTGCTGGGCCATCTTTGGGGCATCTTCCACATAGAAGGGAATGAGCACCCCATTTCACCTTGAGCACAGCAGAGTTCCCAGGTCGAGCCTTGTGTTGTGAGACCATTATCTCGGGATTCCTCTCCACACCCTGATTCCTGAGGAGGGTTCTCAGACTTAGAAATAATGACAGGCACGCTGCCGGGCTGCTTCCTCCATCAGCCAGTGCTCAGCCCCTTGCCCTGCTGACCTGCTTATCTTTGTTCCTACAGAGTGGTGCTCAGCATGGCGGGGATTCCAGGGCTCCTCTTCCTCCTCCTCCTCCTCCTCCTCTGTGCTGTCGGGCAGGTGAGCCCCTCTGGCGCCCACTGGAAACCCACTTGGCCTGCTTATCGCCTCCCGGTGGTCTTGCCCCAGTCCACCCTCCACTTAGGTAAGCCAGACTTTGGGGCCGAAGCCAAATTGGAAGTGTCCTCCTCATGCGGACCCCAGTGTCATAAGGGCACCCCGCTGCCCACCTATGAAGAGGCCAAGCAGTACCTATCCTATGAGACGCTCTATGCCAACGGCAGCCGCACCGAGACGCAGGTGGGCATTTATGTCCTCAGTGGTGGCAGTGGGGGGCAAGAGTCTTCGCGAAAGGCTCGGAGGAAGCGGCAGATCTATGGCTACGACAGCAGATTCAGCATTTTTGGGAAGGACTTCTTGCTCAACTACCCCTTCTCGACCTCAGTGAAGTTATCCACAGGCTGCACGGGCACCCTGGTGGCAGAGAGGCATGTCCTTACCGCTGCCCATTGCATTCACGATGGGAAGACCTACGTGAAAGGAACCCAGAAACTTCGAGTGGGCTTCCTGAAGCCCAAGTTTAAAGATGGTGGTCGAGGGGCCAACAGCTCCAGCTCTGCCATTCCGGAGAAGATGAAGTTTCAGTGGATCCGGGTGAAACGCACCCACGTGCCCAAGGGTTGGATCAAAGGCAACGCCAATGACATTGGTATGGATTATGACTATGCCCTTCTAGAACTCAAAAAGCCCCACAAGAGAAAGTTCATGAAGATCGGCGTGAGCCCTCCCGCCAAGCAGCTGCCAGGGGGCCGAATCCACTTCTCTGGTTATGACAATGACCGACCAGGCAACTTGGTATACCGCTTCTGTGATGTCAAGGATGAGACCTATGACCTGCTCTACCAGCAGTGTGATGCCCAGCCCGGGGCCAGCGGCTCTGGAGTCTACGTGAGGATGTGGAAGAGGCAGCAGCAGAAGTGGGAGCGAAAAATCATTGGCATCTTTTCAGGGCACCAGTGGGTAGACATGAATGGCTCTCCACAGGATTTCAACGTGGCTGTTAGAATCACCCCTCTCAAATATGCCCAGATTTGCTATTGGATTAAAGGGAACTACCTGGATTGTAGGGAGGGGTGACACGGTGTTCCTTCCTGGCAGCACTTAATGGTCTTCATCTACGTATCTTAGGAGAGGCCAAATGTTGTCATTGGGATGTGTGTGTGTGTGTGTGTGTGTGTGTGTGTGGTGTGGTGTGTGGACTGTGTCATATTATCTTTTACCTGATTTTTTAAAGTTGCAAGATGATTGGCTTTATTATTTGAAAACTGGTTTGTGTATCATCTATCATTTCAGGAGTTTAAAGGCATACTTTTGCATAGAAATTTTAAAAAGACCATACTGATGTTTGGGATAATAGAGAATATTTAGCAAGAAAGTTAATCCTTCAATTTTTGAGAACTTTGATTTTTATTTCATCTGAACTTTTGTGTCCAAGGTTTATATTAAATATGTGGCATATGGGAGATATAAATTCTTAAATTCTTATGTGTGTATATATGTGTGTTTTCTCTTGAGATTCATTTTAGGGTTTTTTTTTAAATTCCTAATCACTAACATTTCCATGTTCCCCACCGCATACAACTTTTAGGAACCTTCACAATACTTCAACAGGCAGGTATGATATTTTGGATTTGGAGGCATTTGCACAGTAGTCCTCGATAAATGAAATAATTTGTTGACTATATTGCTACACGTATTAAACTATATCTTACACTAAGTCAGTATCCGAAGCTGCTTTCAGTTTTGAAATGGTTTCTTTCCCAAAGGTGGTTGCTCTATTTTTGAGGAAGGCGCGGCATACGGCCCTGTCAGCTTTGTGACTCATCGGAGTAGGCAAGAGTATTTATGCCAATCCCTCCATTTAACGGGATTTTACTCACGTTTCTTGAACTAGCTATTTTCCAGGAGACAATAATCAGGGCCTAATGGGAGCAAGCTATATCACTTCCCAGCTAACAATTGTGGTCACACTAAAAACAATCATTTCATTTTACCCCTGAAGTAGAGCACATCTCATGTTTTATCATCTGGATGGAGTGATTTAAAATGAATTAAATTCCAGAGAACAATGGACGCATTGCTTGGCAGATGTCACAACAGAATAACCACTTGTTTGGAGCCTGGCACAGTCACACAACCTAATCAAAATTATTCTACGGAGTTTGCAGTGCACTTTCAGGGAGCCGCATACTGGTGTAATTTGGAAACTTTTCTCTTTCACTTTACTTATATTTTATAGTAAAAATATTTGGATGGTGCTTTAAGAAAAACCAAGAGGACTTTTTTTCCACTAGCTTTAAAAGGGCCTCTTTTACTGGGATACTTTAGGCTACAGGCACGTATAATCAACTACAGTAATAAAAATGGAAATTGAGAGAATGCAGAGTGGATCAGAATCTTTACTCCAGCAAATGTCTTTAGGAATGTTTTATCAATATGATAATCAGAGTTTATAAAGAAAAGACTTTGACTTATTTTATGTTTTCATCTTATGCTTCTTGGCCTGAGCGGAGCGTGTCTTCCTAAATATATCAATTGGGGAGTGGGGGGTGGAGAGCAAATGGATTACAGGGCAGATGTTTGCTGGGCTTGTGCCCTTAGGTGATACCAGCCTGAATTGGGACTATCTGTGAGGACATTCAGATATGGCACTGAAGCTTTAGTTTTTTCTGGGTGGCTTTTGACTTGTTTTTTTTTTTTTTTTTTAATTTTTGCTTGTTTTTTTGTGCATTTCAGTCGAGAATAATCCTGATAAGACACTCACGAAATGTACAACTGTAGTGCTTTCTTCAAATCATGTAAGAAAATACTATGCATAGCACAGAGGTGTGGGGCTGCCAGGATTCTTCTGAGTTCTAGTACAATTTGCTTTGAAATCTAGCAGGAGTATAACATGAGGAAGAAGAGAGGTCTGTATCCCTGTGTTTGGTATTGGGGGAGAGGGGGAATTGTTTTTGCTTTCACTTGATGGAAAAAGAAGTTCACTGAACGCTTAGACTGGACTAATTAAAAAAAAGATGCTGCTTTTATGAAGCACCTGATTTCTTGATTTTGATTTTTTGCAAAGTTGAAACTTCCCTCAGCAAAGGTAGGTAGTGGCACAAAATCAAAACAATATCAATGTTAGGTTCACAAATAGGTGTAGTTTACTAAAGAATAATACATTCTATGTACCATATAATTCATAGATGGTAAAATAACTCAACATGACTGTTTTTTCAGTGGTAATAAAAGGAAGCATGGTATTGTTGTGGAATTTGAAAGAAAAAAAAGAATGGACTCTTCATGATACTAACATAGTGTTTTACATGTATTAGTTATACATTGTAAGGATTTATTTCTAGTAAGGCCAGTAGAACAACATTCCTAAAGAGTGTGCCATAAACACTCATCCCTCCAGATTTTCTACCAAGAACAAAAAGGGCACCCTCTCTGAGGAGGAGGGAGATGCTCAGTACTCCCTTTCCTTATCAGGGATTCACTTGCCTGTTTGCACCTTGAAAGTTCTAAGAAGTCCTGTAGGAAAGAGACATGATAATGTTTTAAAAGCTGCACTTCAATAAAGATCTTTGATCACCGAACCCTTGTTTTCTCATATAATGCTTCTGAGCCCAGTTAGTGTTCTAATAAATACATGTTGGGAATCACTGTAGCAGCCCTTGGTTAAGCTGACTGAGCGGAAAGTATGATGAGCCCCTAGTGGCATCAGGTGGCAGTGTCTTTGGGATTTGACCAGAACGCAGTTTCCAGATTTCAAAATGTTCCAGGGTGGAAAGGGAGACAATAAACTTGCAAATCATTTGTTGCTAAGAGTCAGAAGGTTATGGCAGAATTTGCGACATTTTTTCCCCATAGAACTTATTCAGAATTTTGAATTTTAGGGATGCCTCGGTGGCTCAGCGGTTGAGTGTCTGCCTTCAGCTCAGGGTATGGTCCGCAGGGTCCAGAAGCAGGGAGCCTGCTTCTCCCTCTGCCTGTGTCTCTGCCTCTCTTTCTCTCTCTCTCTCTCTCTAGCTCTCATGAATAAGTAAATAAAATCTTTTTTAGAAAAGAATTTTGAATTTTAGAAAGGAGCTAGTCCCCCAAAATGGAAAAATAGGGCTAAAAAAGAAAAATACGAGCCAGCCAGTAATGGAGTTGTATATGTATATTTTTTGGACCAAAAATGAATTGGAGAAAAAATGGGAGTACATTGGAACATCGAGATCATCCTCATCTCTTTGTGTGTGACTCATCTCCCTGCTCAGAAGGGCAAGCCCCCAGGGACACCTGGGTCAGTATTTAAGGTAGTGATCTCTCTCTAACACCTACCCGAGTCTTTGGTCCAGAACTTGTTGAGGATGACAAGCCTGCACTGGAATAAAGACCTTCTGTCCTATGTACCATGCACTACTGAAGGGTAGGCAGCCTCCCAGGGGGCCAGGGGAGTCCTGATGGCAGTCCTCGGCACTTGCTCTCCAGGGGCTGGACAGAGTCCTGGCAGAGAGTCTAGTAGACAGTCCCTGCACTGGCCTGACTCCTTGCTTCATCTGAGTTCTTTTCGTGCCCAATCCTTTTCTTAGCCCTTGTCACAAACCACCTCAAGAATGCCTTGAAGTTGCCACTGTCAACAGGCTTCTATAGCTGTTTAATTTCTCATCCAGAATGGAGCTCTTTTGAGACCGAATGGGAATTCTGTGAATAACGAGGCTAGGACAGCAGGCATGTGCCAGGTCTGTCCCAGGGAATCCAGCATGTCTGCTCACCCTAACTGGTAAGCCCTTCAAAGCGCTGTGTGGAATGCGGACGACAGCCATCCCAGGTAACTGGGAGCCGTGGTGGGGCTGCAGCCTCCTGACTGTCTCATCTCGGCTTGCACTGTGCTTCCTACTGCAGGTCTTCTTCGCCTGGAGTGGCATTCTGAGGGCCTCCAGTGGGGGAAGGACATTTATAAAACCTTTTGATGGGGTGGCATCCAGATCAGAGAGGTGGTAAACATGGACCATTTCTAGCAGATAACATCTGTTCTTAGTCTGCTGTTGTCCCAGGGGAAGAAAGAAGCCAGCTTCCAGGATAAGAATAAGGCTAAAAGCTGGGACAGCAGACTGGTGTAGGAATATGATGGCCTTGAAGTTGGGCAGACTGATTCCTAGTTGCCTGGTTCCTTTTGGGGAATAAATCTCAATACAGTTTAATTTAAAACTTAAAACCCTCCTATCTGATTCAGAGATCCTCTCTCTTCTAGGTCTGGCTCCTCCAGTGGGCTATGGTGGAGCAGGGAAAGAGGGAAAGGCAACTGTCTATGTCCTCTCCTCAGTGATTGTAGCTTCTCAGGTAACACCAGCTCTTCCATCCTCCTTAGCTTATACCTCTAGTCATGTAACCTCTGCCTCCTTTTGTTGAGACACACTTACGTGGCAGACATCCCCCTCAAGTGGTGAACCAGCAAAATAACCCCAAGCCCAGGCTTGTTACACATAAGCTGCTTATTGAAATTTGGGGTGTGGGGAGAGAATGTTCCAGGCTGAGGGAGCTGGAATGTGAGGGCTCCTAGCAGGATCAAATCTGGTCTGTTCAAGAGGTGAAAAGAGTGAGGGGAATTAAAAAGCAGAAACTTCTAGCTAGAAAATAAATCATGGGGATGTTATGACAGCCCAGTGACTGTAATTAAAAATATGCAACTGCATTGCATATTTGAAAGTTGCTAAGAGTAGATCTTAAAAGTTCTCATCACAGGAAAAAGATTTGTTATTACTACGTATGGTGACAGACATTAACTAGACTTGTGATCATTTCATAACAAATAGAAATCTACAATTATTATGTTGTGTACCTGAAGCAAATATATATCATATGTCTGTTATACCTCAATTCAAAAAAGAAAAGAAGAATGACACTTAGGTTTGGGGCCTGGGCATCCAGGTAGATTCCAGGAACCATCTGCTGAGATGGTTAGGACTGGGGAAGGGAATAGGTTATAGGATCAGGGAAGTGAAAATCAAGAATTTTCGTGGTGGTCATATTAGGTTTGAAAGAACAGAGACCCAAGTGGAGGGACGCCTTGGGCAGTTCCGTCAGTTGAGCCTCTGACTTGATTTCGGCTCAGGTCATGATCTCTGTGTCCGGGGACCGAGCCCCGCATTGGGCTCCATCCACACTCAGTAGGGAATCTGCTTCTCCTCCCTCTGCCCCTCCCAACGTGACATCTCTCTCTTTCTAAGATAAATAAATCTTTTTTAAAAAGGAAAAAAAAAATAGACATCCAAGTGGAGATGTCAGGTAAGCACTCCTAACTGTTCGGTAAGGATCTCTGCTTGTGAAATTCAGTAGAAGGATCCTGAATCAGCATGTGGGATTTAAAACTTCAGAGCGAGATAACATCTCCAGGAGAGGATGAGGCTTGAAAATAGGATTGAGGACAGATTCCTGGTCCACCAATGTTTAGAGGCTGGGTTCACGGAGAAGGAGGAGGAAGGGGAGGAGGGCGCAGCCCAGAAGCTGGGAGGAAGCAGCCCATGAGGTCACAGGAAAATCACGAAAATGTGGTCTCACAGAAGCCAAGAGAAGAAAGTCTGAACGTCTCGTGGGTGAGACGGGAGGGCAGAGGGCCAGGTTGCGTTTAGAAATGTCCCTTGGGCTGCGCTGGGCAAGGCAACCGGGCGGCGGGCAGGAGACCAGGGAGGGGCCTCGTGGTCCTCCAAGCAGAAGGTCCCCTGCGCATCTCCAGCTCCCCCCTGTGAGCGCAGGCGGTGCTTCGGCCGTGCCTGGCATGACATTAGCGGAACCCTCCCTGGGAGCCTGGGGACAGCTCTACGGGTAGAAGGTGCAAGGATCCGGGGTCACACCCTCCCTGGGGGAATTGGGCTTTGAAGGGCCAGGGGCTGCTGTTCCCTCCTGCCCAGCCTGCTCTTCTCCGAGGGTGGAAAGTGCACGATGACTCTTCAGTGTGGTATTTGTGTGTGGGTGTGTGCGTGCGTGCATACACCAAGTGTGTAAAAATATCAAGTGTCCCTTAGTCTTGATTTATTACTGCCCCTTGTCTTCAGACTTTAAAAGGACTCAGGCAGGGGCCCCTGGCTGGCTCTGTCAGTAGAGCATGTGACTCTTAATCTTGGAGTCGTGAGTTCGAGCCACATGTTGAGTGGAGACGACCAAAAAATAAAAAAATAAAATAAAATAAAATAAAAGAAAAGACAAAGGCACTCTCTTCCATAAACAGCCAGGACAGTTTTGAGAAGCATCGAGTTCCAATCCAGTGAAGCAAGCCTGAAGCCTGAAGTGTTTGCACTGGACAGAAAGAGGAGAGCTCAGAAAAAGAAATAAACAGAGCAAGTGTCTGGGACTGGAGCGGCAGGTGCGGGAACAGTGGCTCAGCCTGGCTCCACGAGTTGGGCCTTCAGGAGGGTGTTCCTTCCCTGGCCATCTTCTCTAGAAGCCCTGCCTGCCCCAGCCCCTGCCCCCAACGGCCTTCCATCCCTCCCCCATTCCAGTGTCTCTGCTGAGCACTAACCATGATATCACATGCTCTGTTATGCTTGTTTCTTCTGTTTGGCCTTCTCTGCCCCTAGAAGGAAATTTCGTGAAGGTGGGAATTTGTGTCTGACTTTGCCTCCACACTTAGACCAGTGCCTAGCACATGGGTCCTCGATGCATCATGTTTTTCAAATGAATGAATAAGCAACCCCAGTAATGGGGTTAATAAACCCATTGC